TGCGAGCATGTTAATCAGTTGGTCATGTAGCTTCGGGAGCAAATCTGAACGCAGGCGCATACACTATGAACTAGTCAAAAACCACTCGCAGTGCAATGATTGGGCTGTGCGGTAGTCCCGTGCTCGAGAAGGCAGTGGAATGGGACCCTACATCTAGGCATTGGCTTCCGTGTGTCAGCGGGATGTGCGCGTGGATGTGTGGGGCCCAAGTGCATGGGGAGGGCTGAAAAATTGGCCACCAACTTGCACCTGGCCAGTGCGGTACTATCAACGTAAGTGATGCATGGGTGCGTTGTGCATGGTGTAGGACAATTGGGACCAGTTTTGGTGGGGGAAAAACGAAGTTGTTTTCGGATTTCCATGCGATCGAGAACGCGTCAACTGCGATGGCTTCCGAGTGGGGAATCTTTGTGCAGAAGCGCGACAGTTGGGTGTTGCGGGAGTTGGCAAAGAGTTCGATGGAGTGGGGACCCCAACGACGTTCTAAGATGCGGAACCACGGCGTTTTCAATGCGTAATCATCGTGGTCGACCATTTTTGAAAGCTCGTCGGCGTGTGAGTTGAGCTCGCGCGGAATCCATTCGATGATCAAGTGCGTGCCGAGCTCCATGCATGTACGGATGATGCTCTTGCAGGCCGTTGTGAGGTCGGGGCTACGAGAGCCGCCTTTGCGAAGGATGATGAATACGCCCTGGTTGTCCACACACACGAGAATGTGTTTCTGCTTGATCTTGTTGGCGTACGTTTGGAGCGCCCAAAGGACGCCTTCGATCTCCCGCCGCGTCCTAGACGTTGCTCGTAGTGGCTCTGACATGGTTGTGCTAGCTTCTTCACGGCCACCAGAGAATGTGGTCAGAGTGGCGCCCCAACCGTGAGAGCTGGCATCCACATGGATTACTGCATCGTAGCTGTTCCGGACGTGAAAAGGTGCACCGTTGAACCGGTCAAACTCCTCAAGCCAAAAGTGTAGCTCCGCTGCTGCGGATGGGGGAATGACCACGCTGCTTTTCCATGACGGTGCATCGTGGATCACTTGTAACATGGCGTGGCTGAATGCACGAGCGGTCGCGCCGAGTGCAACTCCCATTGATGCGAGCATGCCAGTGATTCTGGCCATGTGGCGGACCAGGACTGGTCGGCACGCATTGCTTGCGCTCAGGAGGTTCTGGATGGTTGAATGTAGCGAGGCTCGTCGGTCGGGACCAATGGAGAATCGGCCGGTGTCTGTCTCAAGTTCTACACCCAAGAATCGGAGGCGTTGTGACGGTGACAGCTGTGATTTCTTCGCGTTTATCACAAAACCTGCCTCTTTAAGGTCCAATATCACCCGTTGGCAGATTGCTTGCGCATGGGCTTTCGACTGACATAGAAATAAAATGTCGTCCACGTAAGGTATGACTCGGATGCCTTGTTCTCGCCAACGCCGAGCTAGCTGTTTGATCAGCTGCGTGAAAACGAATGGAGCTGTCGCGAGGCCAAATGGCAGTGAACGGAATGCGTATGTGCGCTTGTCGAATTCGAAACCAAGGAACTTCCAGCATGATGGGTGGATGTCGATGTGGTGGTATCCAGACTTGAGGTCGATGGAGAACATCCAGTCCCCAACGTGTGCCAGGTCGGCCACACGGCTGAGCCCCTCGTACTTGAACTTGGGGACAATCAAGTTCGCATTGACTTTCCTCAGGTCAAGAATGAGTCTGCATTTGTCTTTTTGCTCGACCACGTTTAGTGGACTTATGCACGTAAGCTGCGTTGCGGGCATCGGGACTGCTGCTCCGGTCTCTATGAGTTCTTGGATGGCGGTACGTGTGAACGTGGCATGCGTGTTCGCCCCGACATGGTTGCGGTCGTGGAAGGGCTGTGGTGGGCCGTGGCTCCATGGCAGCCAGTAGCCCTTGGCGATGATGGACAGGACAAGGCTGCAGGGGCACCATGAACTCCACCACGCAAAGGTCGCACGAAGCCAACCTCGCATCTGTGTAATAGTTTTGTCCGTAACGGCGAATTCATACGGATCGTCGTAGCATACCACCTCGCACCGTCGTGCTCCTGTGTAGTGGAGGCAAAATGGGGTGATCATTGGGTGTTTCATTTCAAAGCATCCGTGTGCATGTACGAGCAACCATTTATCAAGATGTGAACAGCATCGACAATCTATCGAAATGTCAACGAGTATGTCGGGTACGCGCCGGCGCTTCTTGTTTCTCTCGCAAAAAACCTCCTCCTTTTTTTTTTTTTTTTTTTTTTTTTTTTTGCCTCGCCTCCTGGTCCAATCGATAGGACATGCCCTTCGATCATTGGAGGTTGATGCCTAGGAGCATGGACACACTTGTCCATCGTGCTTGATCTCGTTATATCTCGTTCTCTCTCTCTCTCTCTCTCTCTCTCTCTCTCTCTCTCTCTCTCTCTCTCTCTCTCTCTCTCTCTTTCTCTCTCACATTCTTTCCCTTGCTCTTTAGTTCATGAAGGCTGATGCTTGGGACCAGGGACATGCTTGTCCATCGTGCTATATCTCGTTCTCTCTCACTCTCTCTCTCTCTCTCTCTCTCTCTCTCTCTCTCTCTCTCTCACACACACACACACACTCTCTCTCTCTCTCTCTCTCTCTCTCTCTCTCTCTCTCTCTCTCTCTCTCTCTCTCTCTCTCTCTCTCTCGCTCTCTTGCTATGCACCTCCTCTTGATTTTTATTTTTTTTAGAGGGACTTTGCCAAAATCAGTGGGCCTTTGAGAAGGAGTTATTTATTAATCAACCAACACACATAGCAATGCTTTCCTAGCACGCATCACGCCACCGAGTGGCCAACTTCATGGGACCGAGGGGGTTGTTATTCCCCTTCCCTATCCTAGGCCCAAAGCCTGTTTCTACCCTTCACTAGGGCTGGCCTCTTGCCATCGCAAACCCCTAGGGCTGCCCATGGTTTTCGCACTCAAGAGTGCACCGTGCCTAGCGCGCAAGCGCCTAGTGCCATGGCCCGCTCCTACACCACCGGAGCGGGTCCTTGGCCGCCATGCCCGTTCATAGGGCAGGCACTTGCCACGTGGCCCGGCTGGCCGCAACGGAAGCACGAGCCCCGAAACCCACGGCAATTAGCCGTGGGCGGGGGGCCCCGCTTGGGTAAGAACGGCATCGGTGCGTTGTTTCCACCGCGGTTGACACGAGCGTATCCGCTTGCCGCCCGGTCCATCGCCGCCATGTCCGCGACCGCCTGCTTGAAGGGTCGAGAAGTCAGCAGGCTCTTTTGCTGGTACAACTTGAAGTGCTTCGCCGTGCGGAAGTCGGAGGCGTCCTCCACTTGAAGCACCTCGAAACGCCCCGAGATGAGGTTGAGAGCGTGCGGGATGAGTTCGAGTCCTCCCGCCGGGTCCCCGCGCTGCGCCTTGTATTCCGCGTGCAGCAGGTACGCGCGCAAGTCCTCCAGCAGCTCCGCTTGCTCTCGCACGGAGTCGTTGACGAATGTTGCTGCCGAAAATGTGAGGTTAGAAGAAGGGAGGGGGGGAAGGTGTTCCGTGCCATTAAAATTGACATTGTTGACTGGAGCCTCACCGGCTTCATCTTCAGAGTCGTCGGTGTCATTGTCGGCCGCTGGAACAGGGGGCGATGCTGTCGCTGCGTCGTTGTCGTGCCGATCCGTCCTTGCTCCTCACGTGCCTTTTTCCCTTTTTCGCGTTTTCTTTTTTAGCCGATGCAGATGCAGCCGGTAGTGCAGTTTCCGCGGCTGTAACGCTGACGGGCTGCTGCTGTAGAAGGGATAGCAGCACGTTGACCTGGTCCGGGGTCAACGCTTGCGTCAACGCAGGGGCGGTCGTCGCGTCAGACGAGGAGACCGCCGTCCGCCTCCTCTGGCGCTGACGCGACGGTCCAGCCGCGGGTGCTGGCGTGTGCTCGGCGTCAGTGGCGTGTGCCGCGCCAGCAGCCGTCGCCACTTGCGCCGCAGGTGCCACTGGCGCCACAGGAGCCACTGGCGCCACTGGCGCCGAAGGGTGCTGCTGGGCGTCGCCCCCTTTGTTGACCTCGAGCCCGCCCAGCGGCACGTCCACTGCAGTCGGGGCGGGCGGTCCATCCTCTGCCCGTCGCTTGTTACGGCGTTCGCCCGCCAAATCGCGGGTGTTACGGTCGGAGTCGGAAGCGGGGTTGGACGAGTTCCCGTTGTTAAGTGTCGGCGTCGGTGCCATCGTTGAGCGATTGAAGTTAAAAATGTCGCCGAGTAAAGTCGAGGGTGACTCGCCTCTAGGAAGCGATTTTGTCCTAGCCAGCTTGGACGGAGGGATAAACTACGTGAGCGGAAAGGTTGAGTGAGCCGTTTGAAAATAGAGAAACGTGGGTGGAGGAAATGAGCTCCAACCCACGGTTTTTGTAGTTGGAGAAGGGCGTTTAGCGCGCTTCGATGATGCCAATTGTGCAATACAAGCAGCTTCGCTTTCACAATACAAAATTTTGAAAAACACTATGTGTGTTAAAAAATTATAAATATATATATACCTGCATGCTACACTTGCTAGGGTATGATCACTGTACTGTTTGTTCTCTTTTATATAACTCTGCATGTGAACTGGCCTTGTGGCCATTTGCTTGGGCTGTAGTGGGGTAGCCCATAAGGGGTTCAACCCAATTAGGGTTAGTAATTGTACCAACTTTCTCCTCTATGTATTCATTCTCGTTCAATATTCTGACAAGCTGTAGATACGGTAGTCATCTATCAGAATCTGAGTCAGATAGTAGAAATGTTCAGCCTAAAAAACGTTGTGTTGTCTGAATTTCCAGCCTCAAAATTTCAGGCAACTCTGACTGACAGAGTTCAGAGAAGGGTGCACATTGACCCATCAGAGTGTCCCAAAACAAATCTAGGGGCCTGCTTCGGATTCAGATCCAATTCAGGCACCGTACAACCAGACTGCTCCTAGTCTGCTACTGTTGTACATAATCGAACAGTGTGCAACAAGGGAATGGGGAAAATAACCAGCTGAACTGGCCAAAGAATCAGACGGATCCAGCTAAGCATCAGAACCCCAGCCACGAAAAGAGGCCCTTCTTTGCGTTGCCTTGAGAGGCCGATGAGTCTGGAGGCACAGTTTCAGAGCCACCACCTCGATCACTTGAAACGCCTGATGATCCCGAGGAGGAATTGGAAGCTGGATCAGGAGCGCTTGCGCCAGCAGAAGCAGCAGAACCATCTTCAGAAGCTCCTGACATGTTGGACGCCTCAGGTTCTACCGAAGGATGAGAGCCTTGCGAAGTAGCAGTAGCAGTAGCAGTAGCAGCAGCAGCAGCAGCAGCAGCAGTAGCAGTATCGTTCGAAGCACCTTCCTCAGCAGTTCCTTGGATGCTAGCGTCCCCCCCTGTGCCTTGCTGCTGTTCCACATCTTGTTTCTCGCGCTCTTGCCCTGCTTCCTGCTCTTGCCCTTGCTGCTGGCTGCCTTCCTCAGACCCATCTGAACCGCCTCGCACTCCCCCTTGTTCGCTGGCTGAACCCGGAGCTGCTGCTGTGGCTGGGGAAGGGAGAGAGGCAGGAGCATGGCCAACAGCAGAAACCGCAGGCGTACTGGTGCTATCAGCTTCGCCCGAGTTGCCCGCATTGCCTTTGCCTGCAGAACTCCCCTCAATGCTCTCACCCTGCTCCTCTCCTTTGCTGCTATCTGCCCCTTCCTTCTCTTCATCAGTTCCTTCCTCCTCGCCTCCCTTCCCCTTCTCACCATCTTCCCCTTCCCCAAGCGTACCTGCACCTTCTCCTTCCTCCTCACTGCTAACACGGTCCTTCGATCCTACTGGAACATCCACTGAAGAAACACCTGAGAGTCCACCTGAGCCCTCACTACCGGCGCCACCAGCTCCCCGCTCTCTGACCGCATCTCCTGACGCCTCTTTAGATGCTGAGCCTTCCTCCACGCCATCTTTCTCGCTACTGCCATGTGGGCTTCCAGACAACTCCCCTACTGCACTCCCTTTGCCCAATGCTGCCACTCCACTTGTATCCTCCCGCTTCTCCCCTAGACCCCCGCCTTCTCTCGTCTCCTCTGCATGCTCCCCCTCCCCGTCACCCTTCTCTGTCGCAGCAGCCTTGATTATCGAGTCTTCCCCTTCATGGATTCCCCTGGTTGGTTCTTTTTCACCATTCTCACTGCCATGACTGCTGCCACTGCTGCTACCCTTCCCAGCACCACCACCATGTGCATCCTCTTCCCCCACCTCACTCCTCTTTCCTCCTTTGCCAACATCTCTTCCCTTCTCCTTCTCCTCCTCCTCATCTCCCCCACCAATCCCCTTCAAAAGCTCATCAATAATCTCCTCCTCCTTGCCCTCCCCTTCTCCGCTCTCTTCCTCCTCTACCTCCTGCCTTTTCTTGCTGCCACCTTCCCCTCCTTTCTTCCCAGAAACTACTTCCTCCTCCTCTTCTTCCTCCTCTTCTGCCCCCTTCTTCCTCTTCTTCTTCTTCTTCTTCCCGCCTCCCCCACCCGCCCCCTCGTCCCCTTCCGCACCATTCAGCCTCTTCATAATCTCATCCAAATGCTCCTCCTCCCGCCTCTCCCTCGCCCTCCCTACACCTTCCAGCATCGCTTCTGCCTCTCTCAACTTCCCTTCGGCCTGACTCTCTACGCCTTCCTCTCCCTCCTCTCCCTCAACACTCTCCTGCACTACCTTCTTCTCCTCCACCTCCTCCCCCTCCTCCCCTGCCGTTTCCCCTCCACTTCTGTCCGTTTTCTTGGCTGATTCCCGAGGCCCGAACCGCCTGCTCTTCTCGGTGTTCTCTTGCGCGCCTTCTCCCTCTCCTACCGCATCCTCCCCGTTCCCATCACCATCAGCACCAGCACTGCTGCTATCAGTCGGAGAAAAATCATCCTGCTGCCCCTCCTGCTCCTGCTGTTGCTGTTGTTGCAGTGAAATCTGTTCCTCGTGCTCCTGCGTTAACCCCTGCTGCTGCTTCTGCCCGTGAATCGCGACCCACGATGGCGCGGCAATCAGCGATCTAGAGCTTATGAAAATGAAGGACGCGAGAAGGAAACCCAGGAACAGGCAAGTGCACGGCAGCAGGAGAGAGTAAACGGACGACGCGGACGAGGCTGCATAGTGCGGCACGCCGCCAAACGCGGATTGCGGACCGCCGAGAGAAGAATACCCTCCTATTCCCCCAAAGGAAGATCTTCCCGATAAAGAGAACGTTCTAGACCGCCCACCGCCGCCGCCGCCGCCGCCGCCGATGCCGCTAAGTAGACCGGAAAAGAACCACCCTCCGCCTCCCCCAAATCCGGCGCCAGCAGCGCCTCCGCCGCCGCCGCCGGCGCTTGCGGAAGAGGATTTCGCAGCGGAGGAGCTGAAATAGAAGGCATTGGAGCGGCGAGTGGCGGCGCCGCCGGCGGCGGAGGGGAAGCGGGAGGAGGCATGGGCGGCGGAAGAGGCGGAAGGAGGGGGCGCGGAAGGGAGCTCCCAATCGAAGGCTCCGAAGCCGGAGGTTGCGCGGCGATCGCGGGTAGAGGAGCGCATGGTTGGGTCAGGCGGAGAGGGGGTGTGGCGCGGAGAGGAAATTGCGGAGTGGAACGAGATTGAGAGAAACAGTGGTTGATGTCGCGACGAAACCGGGCGGATTAGGAGAGAGTGGCAGCGGTAGTTTTAGCGATCTTGATAGTGATGGAAGCGTTGGTGGTGTTTTTTTGCTGTCAAGCAGTGTGAGATCGGGGTGTGCGATTGGGGAGCAAGTACAGCTCCACTGTACCCTCCCTCTCTCTGTCCAGATTGGCTCACGCTGAACGGGGAATGCATTCACGAGGTGACCAGTCGCATCAAAGTCCGCACTTGGCACACAACAGTCCGGCAGGAAGTGAACAAAAATCCTGCAAAAAAACAGCCACGAAACCCTACTAGTGCCTAAAAAGAGGTGCTTCGTTGATTAATCTATGGATGACTGATGAGACTATCGCATCCATCGTCTGATCGATGACCGATCGGCTCGTTGCAGCGTGACGCATTGCGTGCGGAGCAACGGTCTAAACTCGACTCGGTTTCACTTGCTTTTAATCCATCGCGACCAGTCACCTGCGATCGCGCAGAGAAAGCGGACGACGTGCCTTTTCCGCTGCGATGAACGCCAACTACCATGCGTGAGTGCACGCCTGCTAAGGGCGGGCAAGACGGCAAGTCTCTTGACTGACTTCGGTTGATTTGAACTTCGGAGGGCGAAACATGTGCTCTTGTTCTCTCTTGTCTTCTCTGGGGGCTCGAGCCCAACTCTCCCGATTTGCTTAGGTGGGTGGGTTGTGCTTGTGCGGCTGGTGGCTTGGGGGTGGCAGTTGGTGCGGTAGGTACGGCGGAGGAAGGCTCGGGAGGGATTCGGGGAACCGGCCCCGTTCAGAGGAAGAGGGAGAGTTGCTCGGCTCGGCAATATCTGGGACTGTAACAAATGTACAATTGTAGAGTTTGACTCTCGTTTTGTTATACGAGTAGTATCACTCCACTTGAACGTTCTGAAACTTCCAAATCAAAACAGGGAAACCAAAACGAGCATTTTTACAAGGCATAGCATCATAAATCCAGCATAATGTACAAACCACTAACACTGCTAGCAAGGTTTCCAAAAGCCCAGTAGTGCACGACAAACACACTCCAACAATGCAAGCCATAGGTGCATGGACTGGCTGTACTAACTTACTCCAAAAGACTGTACCAGTGCCTTCAAAACCATGTATATCCATCCCACAAACATCCATCCCAAAACCATCCATCCCCATGCAACTCACATCACACCCAGGCCAGTCTGCCCCACTCCCTTCCCTCCCTTGCCTGCTTCCTTCGCCTCCCTCCCATCCTCACCTGCTCTCTCCCATCCCCTCCTCCGCACACCCTCCCCTCTGCATCTCCCTCCCTATAACCTGCAGGCAGCAGGCAGAGCAGAAGAAATACCAAATCCAGCCCCCTCACTTGCGCTACCTCTCCCATGCTCCATCCACCTTCATCCCTGAACATCAAATAACACACTCACCCATGCCACCTTCCCGGCCTGCTTTCATCCACTCGTGTCACCTCATGAATAACCCTCTCCGTCGCAATCTCTCTCTCTCTCCTTCCCCTACCAAACTCGCGGATACAGCAGCGCCCAGCAGAATTTCAAGTCAGTTTCCGAATGGATTTTGAGTAGACCGATTAGTTGACGGTACCGTAGCAATTAACTCGCTGGCACAGCAGCAGCGAGTGCTTTCACGAGCTCGCGCTCCTCGATGGGCTTGGAGAGGCACCCATCCATGCCGGCAGCTTCGCAGCGCTGCCTCACCTCCCCAATGGAGTCTGCTGTGAGGGCAAAGATTGGCACGTGCGTGCACACCACCTGCTGCTGCTCCTGCTGCTGCTGCTGCTCCTGCTCGTGCTGCTGCTGGTTGCGTTGGTACTGCAGCTCGGCCTGTCTCACCCTGCGAGTAGCTTCCAGCCCGTCCATTCCAGGCATCTGCAATGAGAGGGGGGGGAGAGAGGGAGAAGTGGGTGTGTGTGTGTTGGGAGGGTTTTTGAGGCGCCTCAAATGTTGGTGCTGCTGCTGCTGGTTGCGTTGGTACTGCAGCTCGGCCTGTCTCGCCCTTCGAGTAGCTTCCAGCCCGTCCATTCCTGGCATCTGTAGAGAGAGAGGGGAAAGGGAAGTGGGGGAGAGAGAGAGGAGGGAAGTGGGGGAGGGGAGGAAGAGGGGGAGGGGGAGTGGAAAGGGGAGGTGAGGTGCATGCATGCGGGCATGTGTATCATTGCACAAACTACTTTTGAGGCGCCTCAAAAGTCATGCATGCGGGCGTGTGTATCATTGCACAAACTACTCCCTGCACTTACTGAAAAGGCGCCCATTCTCTCTCCCCAACAACACACGAAACAGCACACAACACAGCAAATGACACGTCACAGTCAACAGCACACAGCACAGCAGAACAGCACGCACCTGCAGGTCATGAAGAGTGAAGAGTGAAGAGCTGTCCATGAAGACCATTTGGATGGAGTGCAGCAACGCAAGCGCAGCCAGACGGAGCTCTTGAGAATTCTCAAGAATGACTCACTTGGAACAGTGCAGCGCACGGAACAACACACAGAACAGCGCACGGAACAACACACAGGACAGCACACGAAACAGCACACGCACACACCTGCAGGTCCATGAAGACCATCTGAAAGGAGTGCGGCAACGCAAGTGCAGCCACGGCCGCAGCACCACTATCCACAGCCACCGCATTCACCCCCAAGCGCTGCAGCACCTTGGACACCACCTTACGGTTCACCATGTTATCATCTACCACCAGCACTCTGCACCCCTCCCAACCGCCCCGCGCTCCTCTCTCTCCAGTTGATCCTATCTCGCCCCGTTGAACCCTCTGGGGTCTCTGCCCGTTTTGACTCCGTTGACTTGGGTTTGACTCGGGAAGAAGCCCTCTCGCACTGCTTGCCCCTGTCGCTGCTGCCGCTGCTGTTGCTGCTGGTTCTGCTGTTGCTTGTGTTGCCAGAGGTGCAGCAGCGGGAATTCCATTACAATTTTGGGAGGAGGAAGAGGAGGGCAGAAGAGGAGTGCTTTCAGTAAGCAAATCATGTGTGCTTGCACTAACACGACCATCCTCTGCAGCAGCAGCAGCAGCAGCAGCAGCAGCAGCAGCAGCAGCAGCAGCAGCAGCAGCAGCAGATGGACGTGTAGGCGCCCCCCGCTTCTTCTCCCCACCTGCAGCACTACCCTCCCTGACAGCAACCCCTCCTCCTGACCCTCCCGCTCCTCCCGCTCCTCCCACTCCATTCCCTTCCGCCCTCCACTCGCCGCTGTTGCTGCTGCTGCTGCAGCTGCTGGTGCAGTCCCTCTGCAGGGCAATGAGAGGCGGGAGAGCAGCTAGCAGGGCGCTCCGCCTGAGAGGCTTCCTCACCATGCCGTCAAATCCGGCGAGAGTGGAGGGGTTGGAGGGTGGAGCTTGCACGAGCACAGCTATGCTCGGCAGCAGCACCACCTGCTTGCTGCTGCGTGCACGGCTGATGCTTGACCCCGCTGTTGCCCCTGCCCTTCCTCCTGCTCGTCCTACCCCCTTTGCTCCCCCTGCTCTTTCTGCTCTGCCTGATTCAGCAGCGGCAGCGGCAGCAGCAGCAGGGTCAAGGGCGCGAGCAATGAGGGCCCGAATCTCGTTCCCAGAGAATCTCCTTCCCCGCACAGTCAACGCACTCTGTTCCACTAGCACCAGCGACACTGCCTTCTCCTTCTCCTGCTGCTCCTCCTGCTGCTCCTCCTGCTGCTCCTGCTCCTGCTCCTCTGGATTCTCCCGTCCTTCCTGCGTGCCGGTATACAACAGAGGCTGCTCTGTTCCTGCCACGCCCGCTGCTCCTGCTGTTTCTCCTGCTACAGCAAACGGAACCGCATCCACACCCGCAGCAGCAGTAATAGCAGCAGCAGTGGGGGAGAGAAGCGGGGAGTGGTAGTCAGTATCCGTAGAATCTGGCACACTTAGCAACGCAGCAGCAGCAGCAGCAGAGAAACCAAGCGCAGCACCAGCAGACCGGCTTTTCCTGTGCAGAGATCCCCCTGACCCACCTAACGCCCCATCCACAACACCACCGGGCCCAGCAGCAGCAGCAGCAGCAGCAGCAGCAGCGGCGGCAGCATCACCAGCAACATTGCCAGCAGCACCAGAAGCAAATGGCTCCTCACATGCAGGGACCCAGTGCCCATTCGTTCCTCTCGTCTCCCTCTCTCCGCCTGCCCCTCCTCCACCAGACACCATAGACAACCCCCCCACCCCCCCCCCACCTCGCCCTGTCCTTTCCCAAAAGCCACCCCTCGCACTGCTGCAGCTCGCCCTACCTATGGAACCCATTGCACCAAAGCTCACCGCATGGCTACCACCTCTCACCCATTCCGACCCTCCTGCCGCTCCTGCCACTCCCCCTCCTGCTCCTCCCCGTGCACCCGCCCCACCCGCTCTCCTCTTAACCACTGCCGCGCCTTCCTTATCCGGATGAGAGTCCGAGTCCGAGCAAGCCAAGATGAGGTGGAGAGGAGGAGCAAAGGTTTCGTCGGGCCCCGAGGGGAGAAGCACGAGAGGGATGTCTGAGAGGGAGGCGGCGAGGTAGACGCGCAGGCCGAGGCGGCGCAGGGATGAGGCGGTAACCGCACGGCGCACGGGGCGATTGTCAATGAGGAGAACACAGGCGTTGAGAAGAGGAGTGGGGGGGAGGGACGGGAGAGGGTGGGGGTTGGGTAAGGTGGAGGGGACAGGGGCAGACGTGAGCGGTGCTGCTGGTTCTGCTGCTGCTGCTGCTGCTGCTGCTGGTGCCGCTGCTGGTGCTGCTGGTGCCGCTGCTGATACGGACGCTGCTGCTGGTGCTGTCTCAAACGCAGCGGCCGCTGTTGCAGGAGCCACAGCAGCAGCAGCAGCTTCGGGGCGGGAGGAGGAGGAGAATGAGGAGGAGGAAGTGGAGGAGGAGGTGGAGAGGAGCGGGGCTGCTTGCAACTCAACGTCGAAGAAGAATGTGGTGCCGACGCCCTCACAGGACACGAAGGACATGCTGCCACTCATCATCCTCACCAGACGCTGCAATGCACCAGTCAACGCAAGTCAGGCACGGGAGGAAAGGGAGGCAGTTTGTGGCGCGCCTTAGAAATCATCAAAGAAGAACGTGGTGCCGACGCCCTCACAGGACACGAAGGACATGCTGCCACTCATCATCCTCATCAGACGCTGCACCAGTCAACGCAAGTCAAAGCAAGTGAGGCACGGGAGGCAAGTCGGGCAGGAGGAGAGCGGGGAGGGGAGGGGAGGAGAGGAGAGAGCCATGCAATGGCGAGAGGAGGCAGGCGAGGGAGAAAGAGAGATGAGGCTCCTTCATTCATACCATACCATACAAGAGAGATGAGGCTCCTTCATTCATACCATACCATACAAGAGAGATGAGGCTCCTTCATTCATACCATACCATACAAGAGAGATGAGGCTCCTTCATTCATACCATACCATACAAGAGAGATGAGGCTCCTTCATTCATACCATACCATACAAGAGAGATGAAACTCATGCTCTAGATACAGCTGCTCAGATCAGAAGAAGCATGCTGTTGAGGCGGCGGCGTGTTTTTAAGTTGACTCAAACAAGGCTCACCCATACCCACACAAGTAGCTCAAGCTCTACATACAGCTCCTGGGAAGCACACTGTTGAGGCGGCACTGGGCAGGCAGGCAGACGGGGAGGCTGATACTAGAGCAAGCAGGTTAAGCAGGTGCGAAAGACAATCCGTACCGCTGTAGCAACGAACAACCCTTGAGGTGCTTCAAAGGTGGTTGTTGAGAGGTTGAGCGCACCTGGCAGGCTGGCAGAAGGAGAGGCCCATGAATGCCGGTTCCCCCATGCAGGCGGCACGTGGTGCTTGCTTGTGACTTTTGCAGTTTGTGACTTGTGACAAGAACGATCTTTGAGGCGGCTAGAAAGCGGTTGGGAAGAGCGCACCTGGCAGATGGAGAGGCCCATGAATGCCGGTTCCTCCGTGCAGGCGCGTGGTGCTGGAAACTTTTGAGGCATCTCAACTCAACCGCAATGATGGAGCCGCCTCAGGTACAGCCTTTGAGGGGGTTAGGGTAGAAGGAAGGCTGCTGGGAGAGGGAGAGAGTACCTGGCAGATGGAGAGGCCGATGCCGGTTCCTCCGTGCAGGCGCGTGGTGCTGGTGTCAGCCTGGGTGAAGGGGCGGAATATGAGATGCCTTGCTCTCTCCGGTATGCCGCAGCCTGCGATGATTGGTGGAAGCAGGGGAGGGGAGAGGATGGGAGCAGAGAGGAAAGGAGAGACGAGGTGGGAAGTTGGTATGATGTGGGATCGGTGGAAACGGTGGAAAAGGGGAGCAGGTTGGGATGTGATGTGAGGGAGGGAGTGGTAGGGTGGTGGGACGGGAAAATGAGAGAGGGTGGAAAGAGCAAGCGCAGCTGGGAGAGGGTACACGAGAGAGTGGGGGACAGGGAAGTGGGGCACGGGGAAAGGAGGGGGGGCGGGGGAGGGGTGTGGGGAGGGGTGGGGTGGGTAGAAGGGGGTTTCAGCAGGAGGGAATGGAGAAGGTGGGATAGAGGGCACGAATGGGGAGGACGAACAGGAGCAGAGCAAAGGGAAGGCTAATGTGAGAGAGAGAGAGGAGCAGAGCACCAGGGGATGGAATGGAAGCATGCAGGGGATGGAATGGAAGCATGCAGGGGATGGAATGGAAGCATGCAGGGGATGGAATGGAAGCATGCAGGGGAGAGGAGACAGGGTGGGCACAGAGTTTTTTTTTAGTGGACTCAAAAATCAGAGGAGGCATGATGACATGACGATAAGTTTTTTTACGCTGGACACAGAGCTGCACCCTCCCCCACTCACCTGTATCCTCAACACTAATCACCAGTCGCACCGTCTGTCCCTCCCTCACGCTCCCCCTCCTCCTCGTGCCCTCCTCCCCTCCTCCTCCTCCCTCCAGGAGGTGTCTCACCTGCCCCCAGCTCCCCACACTCTCCATCACCCTCTTCCCACTCAGACTCAGATACTCCCCCCTCCCCTCCTCTTCCACCCACACCATCTCCGTTGCTGCTCGAGGCGGCAGCGGCGGCGGGGGAGGCGGGGTCGAGGGTGGAGGGGACGGGGCCGACGGGGGGAGGGTAGGTTGGAGGGGGAAAGCGGGCGGGTGAGTGGCAGGGAAAGGGGCAGCGGGGGGAACGTGGGTGTGGGGGGGTGGTGGTAGTGTGGGGGAGAGGCGAGCCGCTGAGAGTGGGTTGCTGACGCCACCGCCGCCGCCGCCGCTGATAGGGTGACTGCTTCTCGGATCACTCCCAGGGGCAACAGTTAGAGCAGCGGAAGCCGCAATCCCAGCACCAGCACCAGTACCACCAGAAGCAGCAGCAGCAGCAGCAGCAGCAGCAGCAGAATCAGTGAGGCTTAGGCGGCTGCTGCTGCGGTTCCTATTCCCATCCCTCACAACCACCTCTGCAGCATCTGCAACCCTCACAAACAGCAGGATATGCCCTTCCTGCGTGAACTTAAACGCATTCCCGATCAGATTCACCAGCACCTGTCTGAACCGCAGCGGATCCCCGACCAGCCTCCCCGGCACTGAATCCGCGACAAACGCAGCCAACTCCACCTCGGGCTTCTCAGCCGTCCGATCGACAAACAGCCCGAGAACGTCGTCGATCTCGGCGCGTAGATCGAACGGGAGAGCCTCGAGCTCGAGGCGGTCTGCCTCGATCTTGGAGAGGTCGAGAATGTCGTTTATGAGCGTGCAGAGAGCTCGCCCGCTGGCCCGCGCCGTTTCCACGTAGTCCAGCTGCGTGGGGTCGAGGGGCGTCTGTAGCAGCAGGTTCAGCATGCCTGGGTGGACAAAAAACGGAGGGAGGATGGGGCGAGCAGGGGGAGTGGGGGGATGAGGAGCGGGGTCGAGCGGGTAACGGAAAAACAGGGGTGGGAATGTTTTGGGAGGCGACTGGATGAGAGGAGATAAGAGAGAGAAGGTAGGGTGGAGGGAACAGGAAAAGGAGAGAAAAATGGAGACGAAGTAGGGTTGGGGTGGGGAGGGGGAGAAGGAGGTGGGGAGGGAGGGGAGGGAAGCAGAAGTTACAAAAGAGAGCAGAAGAGAGCTCACACCCAAGGGGTGGGAATGGGATGAAACTGCTGGCCCCCCTCCCGCCTCACCACCCCTCTCAACTGCGCGTCACTCTCACTCACCGCCTCACCTCAACTCAACCCCCCTCTCAACCGCGCCTCGCTCCCTCACGCACCGATCACGCCGTTCATGGGGGTGCGGATCTCGTGGCTCATAGTCGCCAGAAACGCGCCCTAGGCTCTACTCGCGGCCTCCGCAGAGGCGAGCGCGGCGGCCATGTGGTCTTTGAGGCGCAGCATGCAGTGGTAGTCGCCCTCCATGGGGGTGCGAGAACCACCGCCTCACCCCAACCCCCCTCTCAACCGCCTCCCACCCCCCTCTCAGCCGCGTCTCTCTCTCACACTCTCTCTCACTCTCTCTCTCACTCTCTCTCTCTCTCACTCTCTCTCTTTCTTTCTCACGCACCGATCACGCCGTTCATGGGGGTGCGGATTTCGTGGCTCATGGTGGCGAGGAAAGCCCCCTTGGCGCGGCTGGCAGCCTCCGCGGAGGCGAGCGCGGCGGCCATGTGGTCTTTGAGGCGCAGCATGCGGTGGTAGTCGCCCTCCATGCGCTCCACCCCGCGCACGATCGCCCACAGCACCACCGCTATCAGCAGCACCAGTAGGAGCACGGGGAGCGCCCACAGCACGGGGGAGACCGGGATGTATGTCGTGTTGATGTAGCTGGGAGGGGGGGGAGAAGGGGCAGCGGGGGAGGAGTGGGGGAGGAGCGGGAGAGGAGCAGGGGAAGAGTGGGGGAGGAGCGAGGGGGGAGCGGGGGCGGAATGGGGGGAAAGCAGGGGGGAAGAAGGCATGAGAAGTGTTCGCGGAGGCGAGCGCCGCGCCTCACCTCGCCAGAGAAACACGCATGCAGCGCCACGCCTCGCGCCACCCCGCCACTCACACCATTCACCACTCTCACTCCTTCTCCCCACTCCGGCCCTCGCATCCTAAATCCCTTCTTCCCCTCCGTTTCCCCTGCCCTTTCCCCTCGCCCTTCCCCTCCCGTTCCCCGCCTCTTCCCCGCCCCTTCCCCCCACCTTTCCCCCCTCCTACTCACCGGCAGTGCAGCTGGAACGACTGACTCGGATCTCCCAAATAGATGGGGAGCGCGAGGGGGAAGTCGCGCACAGCGTCCATCCCCGCCACGTCCAGCCCCGCGGACGCGTGCAGAGCCTCGTAGTCAAACGACAGCGGCCCCCCGCTCATCGCGGGCGAGGGGGGGTCGTCCGCCACGGGCAGCAGCGGCGGCGGAGGGGGAGGGGAAGAGAAGGCAGCGGCGGAGGTGGGAGCAACGGCGGTGGGTGGCGCGGATGGGGAGGAAGTGGAAGAAGAATGGTTCGACGCTCCGGAAGAGGAGGAGGAGGTGGGGGAGGAGGGGGAGGCGGGGGAAGCGGGGGAGGCAGCAGCAGCAGGCGGGAACTTGGGCGTGCGCTTGTATAGCACGGTGAAGATGGGGGAAGCGGTGGGGAGCGGGCCGTGGGAGAGAATGGTGAAGTTATACGCCACGATGACCCACCCGCGGATGTAATGGCTGAACCACGACGGGTCGCTTGGGGATGGCGTCAGGGCGAAGCGCGACGCGGAGGAGCCGGGGGGCGGAGAGGACGGGGGGGCACCGGGGAAGGAACCAGGGGGGAAGCCGCGGGGCGAGCCGGGGGGGGAACCGGGGGAGGGGAAGGCGGAGGACGAGGGGGAGGAGGAAGCGGGTGAGGAAGCAGGGGAAGCGGGGGAAGCGATGGAAGCGGTGGAAGCGGGCGAAGCGGGGAAAGGGGAGGGGGAAGAGGTAGCAGCGGAGAAATGGAGCGAGGAGGAGAGGTCTGCGGGGTTTTTTAGCAGAGAGATGTTGAAATCCGGGTCGAAGACCGGGAAGGCCTGGGCTATCGTGGCTAGTGTGGCGCTGGGACGCGCTGCTCCAGAGGCGGAGGGGGAAGCGGAGGGGGAGGATCCGTAGGGAAGGAAGGGCTCGGAAATAGCCCCCATGACGCCCTTGCGGAGGGTGCGGTCGAGAGCCGAGGCGAATGGGGGGACTGGGGGGAGCGGAGGGGGGCGGACGGGGCGCGGGACGGGGAGGGGGAGACACGGGCGGAGGGGGGTTGAGGAGCGAAAGGGGAGGGGAGGACAGGGGGGGGGGGCGGGGGGAGCAGGGAGCGGGTGCAAAGTACACATTTTCAGAGAAAAAGGACAGTATGGAAAGAGGGGAGGGAGGGCTTCTGTGGGAGGTACGAAGGGCACAAAAAAATATTCTCTCAACTCAATTCACGAAAGCGAGAGTGAGAGTGAGAGGGAGAGGGAGCGGAAGAGGACGACTCACAGGAGACGATGTCCATGCCAGGAGACAGCACGACAGTATCCGCCAGCTGAAGCGCCGGGTTACTCGAAAACAGAATCACCACCCCGTACTCCTTCCCGCGCCCCTGCCCCTGCCCCTGCCCCTGCCCCTGCCCCTGCCCCTGCCCTTGCGCCTGCCCCTGCGCCGTCGCGGGATCGTCATACGGCAAGCACGCCTTGGCTTGCGCGGATGCCGCCGCGGCAGGCGCGAATACGCACGCATTCAACCCGTGCTGCGACAGATTCGCCTCGAACTCCCTGCGCATTGTCGCGTTCACTCTATGCGCGTACAGAATCACCGCGGCGAGCGGGCGCGCGTAGGGAGTCGAGCTCGTAAACGACTGGTACGTCGCCAGATCGAACAGGCTCTGGTGCGAGTCGCCCGCGAGGTAATACGTCCTTATTAAATCCGTGATCGTCGCGGCGCTGCTGCTGGTGGTGTTGAATTGGTTCTCGAAGTAAGTCGCGTGTTGTAAGCAGATGCGCTGGAGCGAGACGGAGCGCGCGTGGAAGCTGTTGACGCCCGAGATTACGAACACGCCGACTGTGAGCGCGAGACCGAGGAGCAGCCATAGCCACACCACGCGCTGACGGGGGGAAGGGAGGGAGAGGGGAGCGGAAGCGGAAGCGAAGGGGAAGAATAAGGGGAGGGCGGGGGAAAGGGGGGCAAACGGGGGAGAAACTGGCAGTTGCGGAAAGCTGTTTTTTTTTCTGAAAGGCATCTAATTGAATAAATGCTAGCCCCTCTAAATTGCTTAAATTCATGTAAAGAAGCTTAATATCGCCCAAGTTTCTAACCGAGTTACCATAGCTTGCTTACCCAGCTGCTGCAAAGCTTTTTGCTTTTCTGCTCCGGGGGAATGCTGTCGCGTGTCGCCGACGTAAGGATCACAGCAGCGAGAGAATAGAATAATAGAGCTCACCTGTCGCCATCGCTTGTTAAGTCGCACGAGCGGGCGCGTAACGGACCGCAGAACAGAAGCAGACACCTTTGACCTGCTGCCCCATTCCAACAATCCCCCACCCACCCACCCTCCGCCACACCCGCGCATCGCCTCCTCTCTCCCCTCCTCGTGCTCCCCCTCGCTCTCCACGCTGACCGCTCTGCCCGCTTCTCGCACCGCGGATTTCCCGCCGGCTTTCGCGCCGGCGCCGCTCTCTGCCGCCCAGCCCCACATCGGCCACCGCGACCTCGGCGCGCCGTTCACCGCGGCGCCACGGCGGAAGGAGGAACAGGCGCAGGATGACAGCGGCGGCGGCGTCATTTTCCCGCCGGTGGAAAAGCTCCCCTCCCCATGCTCGTCTTCTAGCGCGGAAGCACCTGTACAGCTACCGCAGCCGCGGCTTTCCCCCGCGCCGGCGGGTTTCGAGTGGTGAACGCGGCTCGAAACTCTACCAGTGCTACCACTACCACCGCGGCGCGCGCCATTCAATTCGGAACGCGGTTGGTGATGCATGTGCGGGGCGGGCAGCCAGCCCCACCGCGCGCTGGTGTGGGAGTGCGGAGACCGGGACCGCCATGGGCCCCGCCATCGCCCCGGCGCGGCGCCGTTCGCCGCAAGCTCGGAGTTTCCCGATCGTCGTTCCGCCGCGCTTCCGAATGTTACATTCCTGGCCTCCCTGCTGCTGCGGCTGCTGCTGCTGCTACGGGTGCTGCGGATGCTGCGGCTGCTGCCAGTCGTACCTCCCCTAGTCACCTTCTCGATCCGCCGCGTCCCAACAGTCTCAGAAACCATACTCGCGACGGCTCTCGTCGGGTCGTTACCGGCGCCGCTAGTAGTCGCGCCGGATACGTCGACAGCAATGTGTCCAGTGCCCTCGGAAGTGGGCCAGGGACTGTCAGCCATCTCGCCATTGGTGGAGAAAGCGCCGTTGATTGCACTGCTGCCGTTTGCATTGTCGCTTGACCGAGGTTGCGTTCCCAGTAAGAATTCCTGCTGCTGCTGTGGTAATCCGGCATTCCCAGCCATGAAATCTCCCTATTAATATCTCCCGAGCAACCCCACACTCCTCTGGACAGTGTCGTAACCTCAAAACCTTCTAGAATAACACGGTTGCACGTCTAATAAGAACATTGTTCACGCTGTGACGCGCACGAGGTGCCATAAACGCCTGTACGTTGGTCAGCATACAAGTAAAACCAAACCCTAGAGTTCATGGGCCTTTGTTGGTAGGCTGGGACGGGGAATCGGGGTCGGGGAGTCCGTTCTAGGAAGTGGAGGGAGGAGACGAGGCATACTACTGTATACTACGTGTACTGTACAAGGGGTGGAGGAACACCTCCTGCTTCTTCTTGCGGAAACGAAGGGAAAATGTTAACGAATGAAATCCAGCTGCTACGCAATTCAGAAAGGAGGATGTACACTCTCTATCCATGTAAACAAGGAGAAAGGTCCTTGTGAGTGAGTGCCTCCCCAAGCCAGCCCCTCCCATCCCATTCCATGAGTAATCGAATGACCAGAAATTTGCGAATGACCGGAATTTTTAGCGGGCACTTCGGGCTTGTGACTCTATTGAGCTTGTAAACGTTAAGACAATATACTGAGAAACGCATTGAAACTCTTGGTGTACGGTGTACAGCTCGGTTGAAATGTTGCGGTACCAGTCAGGGAATTCGCGCACAGTTGATGGGTACCACGCAGGGAAGATGGGTACCACGGAGGGAAGATGGGTACCACGAAGGGGCGCGCATGATCTGACGGGTACCATCGAGCCACGTAGGTGACTTTTGACGTCAGCGGGCTCGATGTGAGTTACCCAGAAGGTAATTACCCGAATTTTTACACAAGCCAGGAATGCACCTTCAAGTCGCGGAATGATCAGTCCATTCTAGCAGAAGGAATGAATACGTAACAGGCTTCAGGAAAGAGCGGGCTGGAGAAGCCGACAGCTGGAGCAAGCTGGAGAACGGTATCCACTTTCGGAGTGTTTTCGTGCATTATTCGCTCAGCTCGTTAGAAGTAGCGAAGTTGGAAACCCGTCGCTTGTTCGAACGTGCGACGCCCTAAATTGCACTTTTTGCATTGCATCTGGACTGCTGTGGGCAGATTGAAGCAGCTTTCCCGCGAAACCGTGGAGTGTTGTTGTCAAATGCGGCGGGCAGAAACCTTCTGCGTTGACCTACACAATGCGGAGTCACAGTGCGTAGTGTATCTCAGGACCAACAAGCTGCGTGTGTGGCAGGTGGGTTGCATTGCATGTGACAATTTTGGTGCAGAATTTGACAAAGCCCCTTGGTTACTGTACCACCACCATCGAAATTCACTGTGGGGAGCTTGTGGCGGAAGGCTCTTTGTTTCAGGGTATGTTACTATAATCCTGTCAACACTAGACCCACTACCGACTGGGCTGTATATTGCTTCCGACTGCAGCTGAGTGGACTCGTTTTCAGATAACCTTCAATTCAGAGCTTTGGAAGGTTGTTCAGATCCTGGTGTGACAGCCGAGCTTTGTGTCCACCCTTGATTTCCAACCCGTCGCCTGGGCCAACCTAAAATGGACCGAGGCTGGTGGGAGAAGGCAGGCCGCGGGAGGGGTGGTGTTTTGTGTGTGCAGGAGGGGGCACCACACCACACCAACACCACCATCATGTTGGCATCGGTGGTGCGGTAGGAACCCACGCCAGGAAATCCACCAATTCCTCGCTAAGATCAGCTGCACTTTCCTACACGAGCAACAACGTTACGGTCCACAGCTAGAGGGTTTCCTGATATGAATGAAGAAAATATTAGAGTTGGCTGGGACATGAATGGGAAACATTAGAGTTTGATACATAATGCATCTTTCAGTATATAATGCATATTATTTACCATAATTTTATGTCGTTTGCCCATCAATCTACCACCACGGGCTACTTAAAGCGACGGTGCACATTTGCCACCCAAAACCCAGAACCCTGGCGAACTGTTACTGCGGATGGAAAGTGTCCGCACGAAATCCTGGTTTTCGCCAGCCAGCACTTTCGCGCTGGCAAGCCTGGTTCAAAAAAAAAACTTCTGAACCCAACACTGCCAAAAGTTGCCCGTCGCTTTAAGGTAATGCCACTCGTGGTAGTCGTATCTAGGTCTAACTAAATGCGTACTTGCTCATTTCGTCATTCAGGGTGCCTCTACCATCGGTCCTGTTCCTCGCCGTTCGTCCACAGCTTCGGTCTCGAACGCCTTTTCTATGGCAGGCGTTTCTGCTGCCCTGACGGGTCCACACTCGCACCCAAGTATTCCCCTTTTTCCGCAACCCTTTTCCACGGTCACAATTGGGGCCCCGCGCTCCCGTCTCACGCTACCTCCTTCATCCAACCGCAGTCAGCCCCGTCTATTCCGACTCCGCTCATTCCCAAACGCCTCCGCCGCCGCCGCCGCCGCCGCCGCCCTCTGCGCTGCCAGTCCTTACAGCGGGGGCAGCGGGAGAGTCGCAGGGTATCATCGCCTGTCGCCGACGGCTGTGCGAGATCGCTTGACGACGTCGCGAACGCTGACCGCGCCGTCGACGCCAGCGCGGTCCGAGTCCCCTCGCGCACCGCTGCATTTCGCGAACGCTCTGAGAAGCGACATAACTGGTTTCTCTCCGCATCACGGTCTGCGATCGCCGGCTCCAACCGCGCTGCGCCGCTCCATGCAATGGCGGACTCATGCGGGCGGGAGAGAGAGCGCAGATGGTGGCATGCGGAGCGCGGGTTACGGCATGGGGGAGAGCGTTCAACGAGGGGAGGCGGGGGAGATGGCGGAAGGGAACGCGAGCTTCGTAGGCACGGCCCTGTCACAAGTCGTTAAGCTGTTTCTTCTATCCCAGGTTCGCGCCATGTCACACGTATCCCTCTGACACCGATAGAGCTTTGTGCAGAGTGATTTGTTTCTGGGCACGAATAATCAACTACTTGTTCCAAGCACATGGAAGCCCATTCAAGACTCCCATCTAATGTCCAGCTGTCAACGGACCCCATGCAACAGTCCACGTGGCACCTAACCCCATTCCCCTACCCATCCATCCATTTCCTTACCCTCATTCCAAGTCTACAGCGTTTCACTGCTCGTCTCCCGTATTCTTCCCCCGTCAACCCCCCTAACCCCCCTAACCCCCCCCCCCCCCCTCCCCCGCCCCTTTCCGCCCAATGCACCTACCTTTCAGCTGGAGTCATGCGAGGACCTGAGTGTGACTGTAGCGGGGTCCAATCGGGAGCTCCTTTCAGGGCGAATCGCTGCACTCACGCTGTCTGCACGAGGGGCAGTGTACAAGGTGCGTGCGCTCTCTCGCCTATGTGCCGCCGTGCCGTCTTCCATTCTTTGACATTCCTTTTGCATCGCCGGCTCGTTGCTTGCGGTTTTGTGGCCTTTTGCTGCTACCGGTCCTTCTTCACGTTCTGCCATCGTGTAACGGTCTGAAAGCCTCCTCCTCGCACCGCGTTCATGGAACATCTGCCTGCTGCTAACTTGTGCTGGAGACCTTTGAGCAAGAGTATCCTGTGCACGTTCATTCATGATGGATGGAATCCTGATCCTGATCCTGATCCTGATCCTAATCCTGATCCTGACCATGGCTTGCCTGTGTCATCCTTCGTTGTGAACTTATGATCACGTGGCTTGACAGGGCGTGAGGCTGACGTCAGCGCACGTGGCAGCAGCTAACATTGCAGTGGACGCCAGGGGCCAAGCACAGTCAGGCAGGTATGCTGGCATGGATGGATGGGGGTCAGCAGCTTACTCACATCGAGCAACAGAGAATCTCATGTCTTTCTGTGTTGACCTGCTCATGTACATTGAGTCTCTGGATGGAGTTATGACTCTGGAAAAAGCAGGCTTTCTTAGTTTTTCCTGTGATAGGCTCACCACCAATCTTGGTCTGTGCCTTGTGTGTGCAGTTTCTTATGCCACAAATTCCCAGTGCATGTGAAGGCACATGTGTCCGAACGTGACTTCAATGAAAGGTAAGTGCTTGCGCTGCGTTTTGCTTGTCTATTAAAGTAAAACATTCACAAGGAACATGTGCGGTTTGTTTTCTGATCTCCGCTTTTTTATGCTCCATGTCCTTGCAGCCTTCAAAATCCAGCACTCCACAAACCATTCAGCAATTTGCTCTCTCTCAGTTTGCCACTGGAGGCTTCGTCGCTTAGTGTAAGGTTCAGTGACGGTTCACTGCACCTCAAATCTCCGAATGCTCCCTCTCTTCGCCTCACTCCGAAGCTCTGCCCTCGTGGTAGGAGTCTGGAGTTTGATCGCAGAACTGATGGTAGATCAGACCAATCAAGAGCACCAATGGTGGACTTGGGACCAGAAACTAGGATCTCTTTGTTGGACTTTCGCCAGGGTTTTCTAAGCCTTCATGGAACATTCATGGTTATTCCATGACCTTGTAATCCTGATATGTAATGAAATCCTGTGCTGTATATGGTTAACAGTTGCCCACCACACCAATGACACCATGTTCCCGTGTTATCGATGTGAGCAATAGCGAGAATTCGGGA